GCACCGGGCCTGGCCGCTGGAGGGTGTCAGGGGCCCTCATGCTGGCACGGCTGCCCTGGCCCCACCTAGCCTGCCTCGGGCCCAGGATCTCCTGGCAAATCTGACATGCAGGCAGTCTGGGGACCGCTGGTAGGCTGCCCGGGTAGGCAGGGGGAAAGTGAAGAAGGCAGCGGTGCTCAAGAAAGGAGCAGGGAGGGTTGTGAAAGTCAGGCCTGAGCCAATTTAGGGGAGCCCCTAAACAGTGAGGCCCTGGGGCTGAGAGGTAGGGAAGGGAGGCCCGAGGAGGAGGGAGGGGGGGGGCACAGGGGGTCGATGGTATTGGTGGCCACAGGTGCCATGTCCTGGGCACTCGGCATGTGCCAGCCACCCCGCCAGCACCCCTAAACACACCTCCTCCGTCAGCATCAGCATCACTGCTGACATTTGCTAGCAAATCCAGTGGCCTCATCTGCCGGGAGGAGCCAGGCCCACCCGACCCAAGGCCGCCCTCTGATCCTCTCTCCCGTGGTCTCCAGCAAGGTGATTGAGCACTGCAGTAACTTTAAAGAGGAGAACATGGACACGTCCAGATAGAGGCCTCCGCCCCCACGGCCGCCACTGCTCTGGACCACAAGGCTGGGAGGAAGCTCTCAAGCAGCCCAGCGGGCGGACCCCCACCCGGGAGCCTCCCACTGGATGAAGGGACACGGGGACTTTTGCACAACCGACGCTTTTCCTTAACATTAGTGAGATATATATATATTATATATATATATATATATATTATTTTTTTTGGTTAGGAAGTGTGAAGTTTTGTGTGTATGATTTCTGTACAAAAACAAAAGAACACTCCTTGAGTCCCTGCAGCTTCCTTGGCCACTCTCAAGCCCCAACTCCAAGCCTTCATTGCTGCCGCTCACTCCTACCCCCTTCAGACTCAATGCCTCTAAGTTGTGAGAGTCCGGGCCTTTCCCAGTGACCTCAGACCCTGGCCTCGCTTCCCATTAGGAGAGGCAGCGGGCTTCTAACAGCCCACTCCCGCACCCCAACCCACCTGCCAAAGCCTGAGAACCCCATCTGGGCTCCTGGGTGTGGCTGCCGGGGTTTGGGATGAAAACTAGCCCCACTGGGTCTCCCGAATGCCTTGGTGCTCCCAGCCGTGGGCCATCTGGGGCAAGGAAGTGAGTGCCCAGGCCCAGGCCGCCCCAGCCCCTGGGGATCCTCAGGAGCGGGGCTCCCAGTAGCCCCGCCAGTTCTCTGGCCAGGCCTGCCTGAGGCCACGCTGCTATGGAGGCTGCCTCCTGGTCTCCCACCAGGTCCCAGGCTACTGAAGGCCCCAGCCCAGGGCTGGTCAGAACTCAGGCAGATTCCGCTGCCCCTTCTGCCAAACATATTCAGCACTCGCCCCAGCCCTGGGAGCCAGCACCGCTGGGGCCAGGGGCTTGCTCCTCACTCCCCAGCCCGTCCCCTGCCCCAAGCACCCATGGTGCCCAGGCACCCCACCAGCAGAACTGAGCCGGCCTCTTTTGCCCCTCCCCGCCCCGCCTCGCTGCCCGGAGGACCCCACACGTCTCTCGGTGAGGCAGGAGGTCCCCACTCCAGCCGGACCGCAGCAACAGGTAGCTGCCTCCAGACCAGCACTGGGCACAGCCTACGGTGGCCCCATTGGCCATTCTGAGCCCCTCCTCCCTGCCCCCAGGCTTTACCTTGGGAACCTCTGTGCTGTGTTTCAGAGAAGTGTGAGCTGCAAATGTGGTCCTCCCTTGATGTAACTCCGAATTGCTTCTCTGGAGACAGGCGGCGGCGAGGAGGCCCCCCCCACCCCCCAGAATAAAGCTCTGGGGGAGCAGGGCCGACTCTGCAGGCATCCCCGAGGGGATGACCTTTCTTCCTTCCTCCTTCCCTGGGCCCGTGTGTGGATTCTGCTAGCGTTTCTGCCTGGAGGTAGAACAGGCTGGATGAGCAGCCCAGGGGAGAGGCACCAGGCCTTCTCCCCCTGAAGTCTGTCCCTGCCAGCCCTGGGAAGGAGGCGGCTGCCCTGCTCTTCCCAAGCTTGGCAGACAGGCCACAGCTGGCCCGCCCCTCCATGCTCACATGGCCTGAGCCAGACCCTGGGCAGAGGTCACGTCGCGTTGCTTTACCACCTGGGGCCTGGGTAAATGTCTGTACTTTGGGATGTCACAGAAATACATTTTTGTGCAAAGTGGAAAGAGCAGAGTGTCTTTTTTTTGCAGAAGGGATGGGGTCAGGAGACGGGCTGGAGCCACTTCGGGCACTGGGCCTTGAATGAGGGGACCTGGAGTGGGGAGGGTGCCTCGGGTCGATTCATGTGCCCAGCCTGGAGGGCCAGTCAACTGCAGCCTGGGGACAGGTGGCAGATTGGGCTGAAGTCCCTGCCTGCTCTCATTCTCCCCACGCCCCCGTGCCCAGACACGGGTACAGCTCTCAGCAGGCCCCCTGCCAGAGTGGTCCAGTCTGATGGTAGAGACGATGTTCCGTGTGAGATTAGGACCCAGTGTGCAGTGGGCAGGGAGCCCAGAGAGGGTGCCTGCCGTGGGCTGGTAGGAGTGGCGGGGGACCCGCACTTCAGCGAGGGCAGAGCACCCTCAGTGTGGAGGTAAGAGACAACATCG